GTGTTTCAGGAATATTGTTGAACTCTCTGACGCTGTCTTGGTGGTCTCTTGGGTCGTCTTCGTGTCCTCTTGGCTGCCCCTGAAACCACACCGTAAAAATCGAGCTCCCATGAATTCACCTGTCCAGCCTGGCTAAAACGTCAGCGCGCGCGCGCCAAGAAATAGACAAAAGAGGGGACCTTACGAGCGTTTTGCCCCAAGGTGGCCCCAAGGTTCTCCAAGAGGTTCTCGAGGCGCCCCCAGATGCCTGCGGATATTCCCGGAAGACTCCGGGGAAAGGTTCGCGCTTTGCCTTAAGATGGCTCCAAGGTTCTCGCAAAGGTTCTCGAGGCGCCCCCCAGATGCCTTCAGAGACTCCCAGGAGGCTCCACAGTCCACGACCTGTATCCAGGAAGCTCCTGACCCACGGCCCAGACATGGCAAGTTGAAAAAAAGGAATTCCAAGAATTCCCTTCTTTCAAACTCCCCCTGCTTACTTTTGCACAACAGACCATAATTGAGACCCCCGTCACCACCGAAGACGGATCCCAGGAAGCCTTCGAGGGCCCCAAACCATCGAACACCTAAAGGAAATGGGTGATTTTGTGGTTTCCGCAGTTCACTTCCTATACGCTTCCGAGGATTGCGCAGGGCCTCCAGGAAGGTTGTTAGATACACAAAACATGTCATTAATTGAGATCCCATGCGTTAGCCTGTCGAGCCTAGCTAGAGCTTGAGCGCGCACGAAGCGCACGATTTTTCTAGTGTGTGTGTATATACACACAATCAAGCAATCCACATCAATCAAAGTCGTGAGAGTCGTGATATCTTAGGAGCCTCGCCGAAGACCCAGAGAAAAGAAGGCATAACGAAGAAACGAGAGGTACCACTGCGGCCTGGCGTCATTTGCCTTTGTAGCCAAGAACGCGTTGCCCACGCGTTTAGCCCCGTTCCTCCGGTCGCTGTCGAAATTGGAAGACATGTGTTGCGTGCGTCAATGCGCGCGTCGTTCATGCAAGGATCGCGTCCCGTGCTTCGCATGCCTCGCAGGTCCTTTTTGGAAGTTGTTCGGCTCGCTTTGCGGTCGTTTGCGCGCGGCGCAGCTCTCGTGAGAAAGCACGCCTGGATGCTGCATTTGCGCCTGGCGGCTGCCGCGCTTGACTGTTGCTTGCGCGTGCCAATTGCCGTATGAGCGGAATCCGCTTAAACAGAACATGTTGTTCTGCCTCCATCCTCCTCGATCTTCTGGGCCTCTTGCTATCAGTATCTTCTCTCCCCAGCCCATCCTTGCCCGAGCGGTTCGAGGATCGAGGTTTAGTCGACCAAAAAGTATGACTCGGGTACCCGGGGTTTCTTAATAAGCGTGGAGGGGTACCCTCCCGACGGGGGTCAACCTCGCCTCGTCGTCGCGCCGCGACGGGGGTCGAGCACCTTCGGCGCGCGGTGGCTACCCGCGACGGGGGTCGATGTGGGGCTGTCGGCGGGGGGGACGCCCCCCCGACGCTTATTGAGAAACTCGGAGTAGGCGTCTTCTTGTACGAGGACTCACGCGTGACACCTCGCAGAAAAAGTACGCACCGATATGGAACGGCAGGCGGTTTTCATCGCCTCGGCGTGCGGGCCGGCCCTAGAGGCTCGGGGGAAGAGGTCTCGGGGCTCCGCGGGCTTGGGAAAGGGGGCCTATGGGTGCCTAGGGGCTTTGCGGGTCCACTTGGAGCTCGGTTGGTCCGTCTGGGGGGTTCCGTGGGCCGTCCAGAGGCCATCTTGGGCGGTGTTCAAGGCCAGCCAGAACCGTCTTGGAAGCATCTTGGGCCATCTTGCTTTCGAAGGCGCGGACCCCTCGCATGTTACAAGGGATCGCGGCCTCGTGAGCGCGGTTCCATTGCGTTCTAGGAGGAACAGTGCCCCCGGGGGGGGGGGGGGGGGGGGGGCGCATGCGGCGGCGTGCCGCAGGGGAGGGGGGGAGCCTGTTAGAAAAAAATGCAGAAACCGTGCCAGACAATCGATTGGCATTCCATCGCGCAGGCGCGGTGCAGGCACGGCGGTGGATATGGGGCGGACACTGTCGCACGCGCGGGGGTAGCTCTGCAGATCGTCAGCTCTTTGCTGGAGAACGGTCGCAATTCGGAGAGAGTTTCGGTCAACGCCTTCCCCGAGCCCTGCGAATGCTTGCATTGGAGATCCGACCTGTTACATGTATACGTCGAGATCTGGTGCCCTTAGGGAGCATAGTATGTTTGCTCGAAGTGGCTCGCCTTGGCGGGCGTCGGGCCAGGCCCAGGCCCCTCTTCCTTCGCAGGAGTAGGAGGCATCCTGGCGCGCGTAGCCCAGGCGCGGCTTGCTGGGTATTCCTCGAGACAGCGTGGTTGCTTGAGCCAGCATCGGTTTCGGATCACGCGACCCCAGGTAGGGTGGTGCCCACAGGGCATGGTGTACACTGGCGGACGGGCTGGACGGTGTGGACTGCACGCAGACGGCGAGGTGGCCCACAGACGCGTGGCATCACACTGGCGGCGCACGCTGGCGGGACCGGTCCACACGCAGGTGGTGCAGACTGGGAGCTGCTAGTTACGGAGCAAATCGCAGACGCCCAGTGTGCACCTCTCGGGGCGTTCCCAGTGCGCACCACATGGTGAATTGAAGCGAGGAGGATTTGTTACCCTGCTTTGCTGCCTCACGCTGGGCACACCCCACTGTGCACCACGAGGCTTCCCAACAAAACGTGGCAGTGGGTCGCACGGACAACAGGCAGACACGAGGCTGGAAGGGAGAGCAGCCTGGGAGGGGAGCGGGAGTGGAGCGAGGAAGCGAGGGAAGGGGAGAGGAGGAAATGGGAAGGAGGACAAGCTAGGTGCGCCCGTGCCATATCTGACATCCTACCCTTCCCACCCATCCATTCCGATGGCGTCGGTTGTTCTTTGTCCGCCAGCGGGTGCCACGGCGGACCTGGAGGACCCCACCGTGTTATGTACGATTGGGAAGGAGGAGCTTGGGACATCGGAGGAGGGGGAGGTGGCGGATGAGCAAGCGAATGGGCAGGAGGAAGAAGACGAGGATGATGCAGGATGACCAGAAGGAGCAGCAGGAGCAGGAAGAGCGGCAGGAGCAGGGCCAGCGAAACGCGGAGAAGGGGAAGGGAGCCGGGCGACAACAACGAGAAAGGACTCGGATCGAAAATTGTGGCCCGCGTTGGGGCGAGAGCGCCAGTTTGAACGACGAGAGCAAAGCGCTGATGCTAAAATGAGGCCGACGCTGCAGCGGGAGCACCGTTTCGAAGCACTGCAGGGACTCCCATGGCAGACAAATCATTGTTCAAACACCTTCTGACACCCGATCCGTTGTTAAACACTATGCGGGGGAAACGGGGCCCCGCTCGAACAGGATCCGGAGAGAGAGAAGAGCGCAGTAGTCACATTGCGTACTTGCGAAGGGGTGGGACAGGGGGCGGGGAGGGAGGGACGTGCGGGCGGGGCAAAAGGGGGAGGAGGCAGAGAGAGCGACGGACCGGGCCAGGAATAGAGGGAGAGGGTTGACGAGAAGGAGGACAGGGAGCAGCGAGGAGAGAGACGAAGCGGGAGAGAGAGAGGGGAACAGGTCGCGGCCACAGGACCATTCAAAAGAACAAATGACACAACGCGCAAAGTTGAGTGGCGCTGCAAGTGCCTGCGAGCAGCAGGCATAATCAGCCATACCCGCGCCTGTCCCTGGGCGAGCCTGGAATCAGCGAGGCCCACAGTACGATTAGTGCCAGGGTGACTGCAAAGACTGAATCACCGAATCACTTGCCGATGCAGGAAGGTTCGAGGAATCCACCATGAATCCGCGCTGCCGATGGCGACATCATGTCAAGCTTGAGCAGCTGTGGCTGGCAGAACCTGCGAGGTATCGTTGTGCGTCTCTGTCTGTGTCCATGTCTGTGTGTGAATGTGTATGCCTGTCTCGCTGCGCGTGCTTGTTTGCAACTGTGTGCTGCTGTTGGAACTTCAGTTATAAATAATCATTATAGTTGATCCCCCCGAGTGACCAGTGTGTTTGTTCGATCAAAGTGTTCTTCCCGGGGCTCGCACCCTGTATGTGTTTTATAAGGGGAAGTTTGTGATCACCAAATTGTGCCCTTGGCCCCCGACTTACAACAACAACGGGTCCCGCCTGATACTTCCTCACAATGTATGTTCAAGTCGCGCTCTCGCGCGGGATGTCCTCACAAGTTGTGCAGGAATCGCGTTATCGCGTGGGATTGCCTCGCAAGTTTTTCCAACGCCGCGTCTTCGACGCTGAGGAATCGCGCTTTCGCTTTGGTTTTTCTTGCGATATACCTGGAAATCGCGCAATCGCTCGAGACCTCCTCTCGATGCGCGCAGGACCTACACTTCAGCAACCCGCCTGCTCGACCGGGCCACCTGGGCCCGCCTTCCGACCCGGCCGTGAGGGTCTACCCGCCCGATCAGCCCGCTTGGTTCTGCCACGTTCTTTTTGATCTTGGCCCCCCTCCTGCTGATCTCTCCCGTGCTCCATCCCTCTCCCTCCTCATTCTGTCGTCTTCTCCCCGTGTTTTAGGGACTGCACCCATAACACGTGGCAGGTAAGAAAGGTATACCTTCAAGAGGGTACGATCGAAAATGAAGTGTGCGGGTATCGAGGGTTTGGGATATACGTGTTGAATGGCACGCTAGCGGATGGAAGCAAACAGGCTTGAAATGATTGTTGTTGGTGTTGCTGCTGCTGCTGTTGATTTTGGTGTTGTTGTTGTTGCTGTTGTTGCTGTTGCTGTTGTTGTTGTTGTTGTTGTTGTTGTTGTTGTTGGTGGTGGTGGTGTTGGTGTTGTTGTTGTTGTTGTTGTTGTTGTTGTTGTTGTTGTTGTTGTTGTTGTTGTTGTTGTTGTTGTTGTGTGTGTGAGTGTGTGTGTGTGTGTGTGTGGGGGGGGATGTGCGTGAACGTGTGTGAATGTGTGAATGGGTGGTGTCTGTCTGCCTGTGTTGCTTCTCGGCGCTCTAACCCGAAGACGCTTGTGCTCTTCCCAGGACGATGTGGACGGAATGTTTGACAAGCTGAACTGGAAGGTGGCGAGAAGGCCGCTGCACTTCGTGCCCCCATTCTCGTGCCCCGAGTCATCGGCAGATACCTGGCATACAGCCAGTGGCAACGGCTCTAGACTCCGACATTGCAGGTTCACGGACCGTTCATTGCATCTCGTTTCACTGCACCGACCCGTTATGCATTGTTAGCAGGTGTCGTCCGAGCAGGTCGGGTGGGCGACAGGGCTTTGGAGTCGTCGTCACACTGTGCCAAAGAGCTGCCGGGGCACCGAGCACAGATGTCGGCGCAGATCATGTTCAGGATGTGCAATTTTGGACATCGCCTCCACAGGCGCGGCACGCGACACAGAAGGCTCCCTGTTCCATCTGCATCGCCCCGTTCGCGCCACTGGGGGATTTCTAGGCAGCTTGTTTCTCGTGGATGTTGCGGCGCCCCGCCATATTCTCGCTCAGCGACTCACAGTGCTAGTCACCATGTGTGCATACCCGTCAGGGGGGGGCGAACAGAGAAGGAGCTCCCACGAAGGCGTAAAAAGGGAGAGGACGAACTCGCAGACCACACATACCACCACGTGGAAGGAAGGAGAACAGCAAAAGCAGCGGAGCTACTTCTGCCGCTGGCTCGGCTGGACGAACGTCGCTTGAACGTTCTACATTGGCACCCCGCTTCCCTGCCCATCTTTCGCCTCCCCCCCCCTCTCCCTTCCTCTCTCCCTCTCGCTCTTTCCTCCCCGGGTCCCCTTCCCTCGCTCCCTCCCCGCTTCCCCATCCCTCTCCCGTCTATTTCCCTCTTGCTCTCCCTTCCTCCCCTCCCCCTCCCCCTCCCCTCCACACCCTGCAGGCATCGCTCTCGTTTCGCTCTGGGGCGTTCGGGCCCCGGGGCCCACCCCTGGGGCCCTCTGGAGGAGAGCTCGTGACGGGACTCAGCCCCCATCCTCCCCCCTCGTTCCTCCCACATCCTCCTTCCCTCATCCCCCCTCCTCCTCCCCCTCCTGCCTCCAACTGCGTATCCCCCCTCCAGCTGTTTTTCGCCCTCCTCCCACCCCTCCTGCGAGTGGTCTCTATATATATAACGAGGGACCGCTCTCCATGGTCATCACAGCCCCCCTGGGAGTGAACGCGACGCTATGACATCCCAAGTGACTCAAAAACGATCGACGCCATTGATCTGGTTTTGAACCGACGGCGTCCCCTCTGGCAACAGGGTGCGTTGCAGTGGCGTGTCGAACCGCGGTCGCCGCTCATCCCGCGCAGGCAGATGGCTGGAGTCGCCACGACCAGGGGGCGCCGCAAGAACTCGGGCGGAACACAGCCAGGCCACATGCCACATATCTGCGCAGAGCTGCAGCCCTCCAGCGCCGTCGGAACGGAAGGTGCAACCACACGACATCGCGAAGCGGGCGGAGCTCATCGAGCGTTGTCTGGACAGGCATGGTCTGCCAGATTTTTTGTAGGGCTCGACCTCGCCTCCCAAGATGGCCGATGTGGGCGCGGTCATGCGCCGGGCTCGACCTGTTGCCTCTGGCGCCGACGAACTTCACGTGGCTGCGCGGAGGGCCTCTCTTGAAGTTGTTCGCACGAGCCTGAAGGGCATCCACTGGCTCCTCTGTGGGCAGCCCATTCGCTTTGATCTGAATGATTTTATCGGTGGCGTCCCCCCGAAGAAAGTGGACGAAGCGGAGGGCACGGTCGGTCATCCTCCGCACATTCGAAAGCATGTTTTTTGGCTTTCTTCTCCACAGCTTTAGGGCAACAGCTGATCAAGCACAGACGGGACGAGCCGGCGCGAACTGCAGACGCGTTTCTGATGAACGCGCTCGAGCAAACGCTGCGCCCTCCCGACTCGAGAACATACACGCGTTTGCTGGCGCCGCGGAACAATGGAGCGGAGGTGGCCTCGACCACATTGCACGGGAAGATGGTTGAAGCCGACGGAGGCGCCCGTCGCGAGGTCCCAACGCGGTTGCGTTCAAGGGGGCGCACTCTCTCGGAGAGCGCTGTCGACTGCGACGATGTCCTCCGGAGTCGCGAGCACGGCTGCTGCGTTACAGTCTGCGAGGTGTCTTGGGTCCGTCTCTAGCCCCGACCCAGGCGTGCCCGCGATCGTTCCACGGCGAGCCCCGTGCTCGGATCGTCCGCACCCGCCGCAGCCCGCGTCGGAGCGCGGGCACCGTCGGGGCGGTACTTCGTCTGCCTTCGCGCGCGGAGAGTGGGCACCTGCTGCTTCGACTTCGGCTGGCCGTCGACGGATCGGGCTCCAGCTCTTCATCTTCTGGGCTCTCCTCCTCCTTGCGCTCGTCGGCGTGTCCGACGGCGCCCACGGCTCCGACATCGGCAGCTCCCTCCACTGGTTCTTGCCGGCCCATTGCACCTCGCGCTGGCGGTTCTGAGCCGAGGGGAGTCACCGGGACCTGGCAAATGGAGAGCGGTTATCTCGCCAAGGGCGCCATTGACGGCAACTCATCTGGAGAAGCGGTCGTATCCCGTGCTGAGCAGGTGCCCGATGCAGACTTGATAGTCGTTCCGTTCAAGCTGCTGGGCCCGGTCTGCGGTAGTTTCGTGTCGTCCCGACACGACAGCGACCCCGCCGCGGACTTTCGAGGTTGAACGCGGCCGCCAGTGGCCCAGAATCGTCCAATATGGAACGATCTCGCGCGGCGGCTCGCCGGCGAGAAGCGAGCGACCGCCGTTCGACCACAGTGGCCTGAAGGTGCTGGAGTTGGCAGAGATGGGTTTGTTTTCCACCACCACCACCACCATAAGTTGGAGGGGGAGGGGGTCCTCCTCCTCCTCCTCCTCCTCCTCCTCCTCCTCCTCCTCGTCCTCCTCCTCCTCCTCCTCCTCCTCCTCCTCCAGCGCAACAGTGGCGCGTGTGCGAAGTGTCAGTCTCATATTGTATTGTATGAGCCAAGGAGGGCTGCGGCGGGCAGCGGCGCCTCGGCTCGCCGCCGCAGCTCACCGATGGCTGCCCCTCGTCTCTGCTCGAGCAGCTCGCCCGCTACCCCATGTTCGCCACCGAGATGCGCTCGCTCCTCGCGGCCAAGGAGCGCTACGAAGCATCTCAGGCAGTGCCGCAGCAGTCCCCCCACGCGTGCTACAACGAGACGGCTCGCGACCTCGAGAAGAAGAATGCGGCGCTCAAGGCTGCCACGGCGGCGGTGGTCGCCGCTGAGACGGCCTTGCAGAGCGCCAACGAGAAGGCGGCCCGCCGGCCCGTGAGCAGCTTCAGGCGAAGCAGGCTCGCGACGCTGCGGACCAGCGAGTTGCTGCCCAGGCCAACATCAAGGCGGCCCCCGACGGATACACCACCGACGGCAAGAGGGTGGTCTTCGCGGTGGACGACGGCCTCTTCGCAGACACCAGCTCCTACGACAGAGAGCAGCAGAAGGAGCTCACGGAGTTTCAGCGCAAGGTTCAGGAGAAGCGCGATCAGGTGTTGGCGCTGCAGGCGGAGGTCCACGCGCACAACGAGAAGGCGCGGGCGGCCCGCTCGAACGAACCGAAGCGCCAGCGCCTCGACGAAGGAGGAGGTTCCCAGGCGTCCGACCAGCACAAAGAGGAACCTCCTGCCGCCCCACCTTCCCCGCCCCCAGCTGCCACGGGCCAGGCGGTCTCCGAGTCCGACGCGGAGGAGGCCCTGCGGGCAGCCATCGCTACTGCTAGGGTGGAGGCGGTCGCGAAGGCGAAGGGCGGGGGCGGCAAGGGTGGCTCCGGCTCTGGCGCTGCTGGTCCTCCTGCTGGCGCATCTCCCGGGTAGCCTAGTTCGTTCGCCGCCTGCTGGCGGCCCCTCTTCGAGTACGACCACCACATGTTCCACGGCCGCCCTGGGGGCCCATCCCCGGGGACCGACCGAGCCCACAAGACTCCAAGATCTTCTTCGCCGACATTTCTGAGTGGGGCCCAGTGGCCCGAGGCTTCATGCGAGGCCAGGCTGACGGATATGATTTGATTGCATTTTGCGAGACGCACGCGATGGACGACGAGCTGAGCTCCGCCAAGTCAGACCTTGGCAAAGACGGATGAAAGCTTATTGCGACCCCTGCTGCCCCGAGCGGCAGGTCTTCTGGAGGCAGCGCTGGTGGAGAATGGATTGTTTCTCGTAAGACTCCCTGTGCTACGTCCTTCGAGTCATGGCGCACCTCTGAGCTGTCGCGGACAGGCGCAGATTTGTTTCGGGGCTTCGCCCCCGTTGCGTGGCACACTCGCGCGGGCCACATAGTCCTTGTTTCGTGCCACCGGCAGCCGGGGTGCAAGTTGAAAGGCCCCAGCGAGCAGATGTTGATCAGATTGGCATCTTTCTCGAAGCAGGTTAAGGATCATTGGATATTGATTGGCGATTGGAATGCGTCTCCGTCTGAGTGGTCGAAGACGTCATGGATTTCAAAGATTGGAGGACAGATCTGTCTACCGACCAACGGTGTGGTCACTTGCAGCAGAGGATCGGGCACCCCCATCGATTGCGCCATCGCCAAGGACGGCATCTGCAGCAGCATCAGAGCCGAGATGGTTCCAGAAGTGCCGTGGCGAACGCATGGCGGCAGCGCAGTCGCTCTCAAGGCAGGGGAGCTCTCTTGGTTGCACCGCAGCCTCGTTGCCGCTCGCGAGCTTCCTGCGGCGCCGAGGCCGTCGGAGGCCCCAGACCCAGAGAGCAAAAGACAGAGAGCATTGTCCCAGGCGCGTGAGAGGCGCGAGCGATCTTTGGAGGAGCACCTGCAGGAAGCATTCGAAGCGTTTCATGATCAAGCCCGCCCTCCTGCTGACCCTGAGCCTGCCGCCCCTTTCGCGACCCCCCCTTCGACCTGGGACATGGCCTGCGACGAGCCGCGCGTGCATCCCCCAGCTGGGCGACCCCACTTCCTCCCTGACCGTGACCCCCCCTGCGTGGCCAGATTGCCGCCGAGCGCGGCCGCTGGGTTCATGGGGTCGAGGGAGCTACGATTATGCACCGCGCAGCACCTGAAGAAGTCGCCCAGAAGTGTCGCGGCCGCGACAAAGGATATTCTATTGAATGGAAGCAGACACGCGCGACCCCATCAAGACCGCACATGAGGGACCCCCCCCTTGAATGGTGGAATATTCGCACTTCCCTTTTGTCCAGGTTGGCGGTTCTCCGACGCGCGGCACGGGCTGATGGTCTTGCCCTAGTATTGGCGAAAATCCTCGAGTTGCTCGACGTTGGCCTAGACTCCGAGCTACAGAAACCTTTCGCTGAGGATGTTGACTTCGTTCATTGGGTTGCGGCGGCCCAGCAGATAGACGAAGCTTCGGATGACGAGTTGGAGACCATCGTAGACAGAGCGGAGAACTACAAGTGTCGTGCCATCGGAAAGTCGATGGCCGCAGCCCGCAAAGGGATTCCAGGCATGGGCTACGAAGACGTGGAAGGAATCCTTTGGAGCACCGCATCGACGCGCGAAGGGTTCCATCGACGAGCCAGATGAGATAATTGCTGATTCTCATGTGTTTTCGACTCCGGATAAGATAATGG